AATAGATGAATACAACTATAAATCAAGCGAAAGAAATAGAGCAAAAACTAAAATCACACTATAAAGGCATACGATTTACGTGTTTCACCCCATAAATTTATATCCCCAGCCTTAGCAAGTAGAAATCCACTATAACAATGAAGATTACAATTTTGGGTTATAAGAAATACACCTCTATCCCAACATCAGTAAAATATTCCTCACCAATCTACTCTTTTAAACCTGCTCTCTTGATCGAGCAATACCATTGATTAACCTCATCATTCCTACCACTGCACCACTATCAGAAAGTTAATCTTGAGAGCAACCAAGAGACTTTCTCTTTCTAGAAGTGAAAACCTTACCAACTCAAAACTTCCCTGGGCACTTACCGAAGAAAAAAAAAAAAAGCCCTTCATGAGAAAAACAACCTCTATCTATTAGGCCATTGGTCTCTATCTTGAAGACCCATCTAATCCCTTCTCATGATCCCTAAAAGGAGGAACCCTAAAGGATAAGTATTATGTCTTCCTTAACCCCTTTTTATAAAATCACTAAACTTCTTTCTTATTTCCCAACAAAGTCATTTTTTTTTTGTTATAATACCCTTAATCTTTTGAGGAAAATATAGTTATAGTGATTTTGATTATCACCAAACCTAATAATATAAATATCACCCTTTAAACGCTGTTATGATATCCACCATAGAATTTGCTTTTGAAATTGATTTCAAAAGAGTACCTCCACAAAAAAATTGTTGAACATTCCTAAATTTCATTTGTTCTAGGTTGGTTGTACGGGACAATTAGGGCATGGATTCTTTGGCCTATTTATTTAAGGGATTGTATATTATAAGACCATTGTTTTTTTTCATACAAGGATGTCACAATCACTTTTAGCCACTGTATGTGAAATCCAATAGATAAAAATATATCACAAAATTCGAGAAAATTTGTCATGGACTTTGTGACTAAACAATAACACATCCTTAACCACCCGATTTCAAATCTAACTTGCAATGATAATTATGACCTCCTTGTATTAAAAGTAAATGGTCTCATTATATGTATTTTTGTTTTATTAACTAGAGCCATATTAGATTGGCAATTATGCTAGAATGTTTTTACGAACTGCTACCTTTCTAAATTTTAGCCCAAAATATTTGACTGGTTATTTTTGAAATGTTATTGAAAGTGAATGTTATTAATGGGTTAAGTGAAATTCATATTAATGATTTCAGTGATATGCTGAGTACATGATATTGCTGTTTTCGAATATTTAAAGAGATTTAGAAATACTTTAAGTATGCAAGTGGACTCATCCGGTGGTGAGGTATAAGTGGACCTATCCGGTACGCCGGTAGGG